AAAAGGTTACACTTGCAAACAGTGCAAAGTGACCACAAGAGAGTTGTACCCAAAGCGAAATCATGCACAGAGTGCAAATAATGTGTACGGGTTCATCACGTGATGGGAAGTTCTGCCGTCGTGGCAGACCCCGTAGCTGGAGTTGCACACTCTTAGGGCTTATGTACTCTTGATGATATAAACAGAAAGGTTCCAGGCTGCCCAGTAGAGGGCTCTATTCCTAAGGGTAGAGCTACTGCTGTCGTAGTCCGGCGACCCGGGGGTAAGCTACGGCGCCGCGGAAGGACATGATTAACCTAAACTACTACATAACAAGGCTGGGCAGTTGTGGCCGTAACTTGCAATTGCAAGTCTGAAGACTTGGCAACTTCACGCCTGCACCTGACTCTTGCGCTATGATACGCGTCGCCTATGATACCCCTCAGAATTTCCCACCTTGCTCCCCCTTATGTTCTGGCTGCCCGTTTTGGACCCATCAGTTGCCTGATGATCGTAGTAATACGTGAAACTCAGAGTTGTAACAAAGCTTCCAATCTCTCTCTTGTGTAATTGCGTTATCAGACGTTCCGACACCAGAGAGAGAGCTAGAAAGGCTGTAGCAATAATATCTAGTTATGGCCATATCCATGGCCAGGAGGCTGATGCCCCGCATGCAGTAGTGTGTACCAATACTATTCAGCGTACGAACTATTGCACAAATAAGGCCTCGTTTACACGACGACGATTGAAAAACGTTTTTCAATCGTTTTCGAAGCGTTTTTGCTGTTTACACGAAAGCGATAAGCGTGTACACTGCAACACGTTTTTCGGCGCGCAATGGTCACGTGCAACAAGTTGGCCTGGCGGCGGCATGTTTTGAGTACGAGGCTCGTAGTAGTAAAACGTGTTTGCCGTCTACGCGAGAACGAAACGGAACGAAAACGATTGAAAAACACTTTGAAGGCCGTTTTTCGTTTGAAACGTGTTTGAAACGTTTTTCAGCGTGTTCATGTGCACACTCCTATCAAAATCTGTGGAAGCGTGTTCTTTTGAAAACGTTTTTGACGAAAAAAAGTTTTTCAATTATTGTCGTGTAAACGAGGCCTAAGGAGCGTTGATACACCTGCATGCAACAGTGTACCAAACTGTAGTAATAGTGTGTATAAACTACAGCACAAAGAACAGGTGCCAGCTAAGGAAATAACACTGGGTACTGTAAAACATGTATTTTTAGTCGCCTCGCAAAAAAGCTTCTGTGAATCCCGCTTTAAACGGCCACGTGTCTATAGCATGGATACGACACTTCCGACAAAAGGAAGGTGATGAAGATAGTGTTGCAACTCCCTGTATGAGATATACTAGTTTTCTCGGAGACGGGAATGCGATAATACTGAGATAGTGCTGGCTGCAGGATATCAAAATATGTATCACTCTCTATCGACCAGCACAGAAACGTGTAATCCCTGGGGTCACTTGCATGCTACATTGGAAACCGCCGTTACGTCTCTTCAACCTCTTTGCATTCGCACAGTGTAGCCGCGAGTCCCCAACAACCTCGGGTCCTTTTTGTAACTGTCACCGCTGCCGTTCATGTTTGACGGTTTTGCTTGCGTCATTCTGTTGTTGCTGCTACTACCATTTGTGTTTATGTACACAGGAAGCTTCACGACTGTTTTGGGTCTGGAATTGAGTGTGAGTTTCTTTATGGCTTGTTCAAAACAACTTAAAGAACAATGTGATATCAAATTTAACTCGGATCGGTCGTTGAATGTCTCAGTAACATGTCAGTTTTGTGCCCTGTTATCGCACTTTCTGACTGCTTATTATCTTGTTACAGTCGTGGATCGTTGCTTCATAACTCGTATCCATGTGATTTCTTCTATTTTAATATGATATCAGTATAAAATAGTGGTAGCGACTTCGGCGAGAATTTCATGGAAAAGTGTTTGCTCCCCACACTGGAGCGCCCGCTTTTCCGCCGACTTGACTCGGCAAACGTGCAAGAAGTGTGGTGTCATTCGGGATTTTCCCAATGGTATGGCCTAAAAGTAGGCAAACCTCCTCAATGCTTGCACTGATTATGTGTAATCGATGTCCAAGCAGCAAGATATTCTTCAAATTAAAAGCTGCCTCGAATGTTGATGACCACAGTCCTTGGGTGTTGGAAATTCTTTGTCCTTTACTACATGGATGCAGCGAATGGGATTTTCTGTCTTTGACCACTTTGTAGTGGGTCTGATCTACTCACCTCCCATCGCTTTAGGAGCTGCATCTGCGCATTGATCCATAGAGGATGGTGGCGTTCCTGCGGATGCGGAAAACTCGGCCACCAGCCGAATCTCATGCGAACTGTGATTTTTTCACTGCTTTTCTTATGAGTCGTCTTGTTGCTGCTGTTGCTGCTATCAATACAGAGCAAAGACTGGTCAGAGACCACATGCACACCGCCATCGTCTGCTGACATTACCAACCGCTCTCCCATGTCACTGCCATCGGTCGACATAGCCGGGCCACAGCAGGATCAGCAGCACCACCACCACCAGCAGCAGCAACAGGCGGCGCAAGTGATGCCAGTCACTGTGCCGGTGTCCGTATCATCAGAGCCGCCATCGGGCAAGGTTTCCCCGTGCACCACGGCCACAAGCGGTGAGACAACAGCCACCAGTGGCACACCGGATGCTCGATCCGAGTGTGAACCCCCTGCCGATGGCAACAGTGTCGGAGCAAGACCTCGCTCAGCTCCCGGCCAGCCGGCGTTTGGACGGTTGGCCGCGGGTGCGCTGACGATGGCTGGCGCTCCCCCGCGTACCATTCTCCAGCGCAACAAGCCGGCTGACAACACCAGTGCTGCACCGTCACAGGGTGGCGGTGGTGGTCCTGAAACTGGCAACGGCAGCGGCTTTGCACCACCCCTACCCAACTCTATGTCCGGAGGCGGCGGCGGTGGTTCACACTGGCAGCACGGCGGCCCCGGCCATCAAGGTCGCCAAGGCGATTACGGCCGCGGAGACCGTTACCGTGGTAATGATGGCGGCGGCGGTGGACACTATGGCCGCAGCTGCAGTGATCGTCCTCGCCATGACTACCCCGGTGACGGCAACGCAAACAATGGCGGCAACGGCTCCACCTCCGGCCGGAGGAAAGGTGGAGGAAAGAAGAAGAACCGGCGTGCACGAAGTAGCGAGCGAAGTGGTGGTAGTGCTGGTAGCGGAGGTAATTACTCTCAAGCTGCTTCTCAAGGCTCTGCTCCTCGGTCAGGTGGTGGTGGCAGTCAGCCTCCAGCAGCGTCGTGAACACAGGCCGATTTCATTGTGTCCGTTTGAGTGAGTACCGCCGTCTCCTATTCCGCGTCTTGCGCTTCTGTGTGTGTGTGTGTGCGTGCGTGTGTGTGCGTGTGTCTATGTCTATGTGTGCGGGTGTGGGCGAGCTTGTAACGCGTTGCCTCTTCTTGTGCTTCGTTTCGGTGTGCAGGCAGGAAGGGGGGGGGGGGGGGGAGCTGATGAAAAGCCACTCCGGCACCCGCAGCAGAACCAGACCCAAGTCCCTGGCCTGGGAGAGGGGTTTCCTGCTGGTACATTTTGTTATGCCTGTTGGTCTCATGCTTCAGTATGGCTGGACTTGCACTAGTGCAGTGTCACTACTGGCAAATCCTCATGACTTTTCATCTTATTGCATACAGTTTATATAGTGGAAGCAGGCATTTTGGGTCCCACTATCGACATAAAAAAAGTAGGGCTGAAACGATTATACCAATTACTCGGTAATCGATCGATAATTCCTTATCAATCAAGTAATCGTTACGTTATAGATTACTCGTTGAGGGATTTTGAGTCCAAAAAGTACTGAAAACCCCGTTTTTGTGAAGTTTGAATCAATTTCCGCTGTGAGTGTGCAGTTGCCAGGGGTATGGTGCATGTTCTGAGGTTCAATTGACTTCAAACTGCCATGTTTTGGAGCTACCCTTTCACTAATGCAGATTTTTTGGTACTATGAAGGCATAGCTTGTGGAAACACAGTAATTTTGCACAGAATTCAGACACTATTTGGTAACGGTTATAATCGATTACTCGATCGTTAAGCTAAAGAGTAATCGATAGGTGAAAATCCACGATCGTTTCAGCCCTAAAAAAAGTGGTGCGACCATGTTTGTAAATCACCGCTGTCAACCTCTAACTTTTTTTCTTTCTCTGTTTTTTTTCGGATTTTCTTCTGCAGGTGTTGTGTGCTTTCCTAACTTACTTGAGCAAATACGTTTGTGAAGTGCCACCTGTTCCCTGGAACTCCCCGGGCACAGCTGTTGCCGAGTTATTTTGTGTTGTGTTCCCTCCTTTCGAGAAACCCGGTCGCCTATCTGTGGCTGGTGCCTGGTTTTGGAGAATGTGGGTGCATCGTTCACATCTTTAATCTACGCGATCCGACCACCGCTCCACGTCATTACTCTGTCGCCGGAGGAAGAAGCTGGAATGTGTGTCTGGTCCGTCTGTTCCCCAGCTTGGCCTTCCTATATGTGTGTGCATGTGTGTTTTTAATAGCTCTATACCTTATACCACAGCCCAAGAGACCTGCCTTGTTGCGCTCTGATTTTCCCCCGAGTTCCTGGGTGCTTCAATCATTGTTCTTTCATTTTATCAGCCGTGTGTAGACGATTCTTTTGTCGGCGGCCGGGCAGTGTCCGCACGAGGTTTTTCTTCTCTTTGTCCGGGTGCTCTTCTTTCACCCGTGTTTGTTGCGTCGTATGCTGCTGTTGGTGTTTGGGGTGACCGCGCGTGCTATTTTTGTCCGCCGGTGCAACTCACTTCCTGCCTTGTGTTCTGCCTTGTGTCCGTGTAGGCCGGACATGCCCGTTTAGCACAGAACGCATTGCATGTAAACAAAACAAGAGCAAGAACTAATTGAAGCTCAGCTGGAACGACTCATCATCGACCACTAGTTCGCTATTAGGCCAGGTGCGGCAAGGGTTATTTCTTAGTACATTTTGTTAACCGCAGTGTGCGTGTGTTTGTGTTGTCTTATTACCAGGTGCTGTTTTACTTATTATGGTGTGGTGGTGACTTTCGCCTGAGGTGTGTAGCTGCTTCTTCCATTCTTCTGGATTAAAGGCTGGTCACGAGGCTCCATGAATTGGTCTACTGCTAGTGTGTGTGGGGGGGGGGGGGTAGGGATTCACTTGAGAGAGAGAGAGAGAGAGAGAGAGAGAGAGAGAGAGAGAGAGAGAGAGAGAGAGAGAGAGAGAGAGAGAGAGAGAGAGAGAGAGAGAGAGAGAGAGAGAGAGAGAGAGAGAGAGAGAGAGAGAGAGAGAGAGAGAGAGAGAGAGAGAGAGAGACACACACACACACACACACACACACACACACACACACACACACACACACACACCACTCAGCATTGCATTGCAACACCAGCCAGGTGCCAATCTCAGCAAATGGTAACTTCTTGTCGTCTGTAAGAAATCAATACTGAAATGAATGAGTTGGGTAGTTAGTTGGGGATGGAGATGGGGGTTTAGTTGGGGAGATTCAAAAATCTAGTATATTTTCGGTCTGCAACTTGGTCTTGCTTGCTGGTCCTATCCCAGAGATAGTGAAGCTGTATTGAAGAATGATGCGCACGAACAAAACGCCGTGCTCACGTCGTTTCTGGACACCAGCTCAGAGAAGGGGAAGCGCCAGTTTGATTGACTTGAGCAGTTCAGCCTCCTATACTAGTACTGTAAACTTGACATCCAATGCATGCACCATCACATCAGAAGAAACTAGTCGAAGTAGAAGTACATGTACAAAGTCTTGAATACCAGTGGTTATATGTGTGTAGGATTCGGATTCGGTATCTGGCTAAGGGGAATCACTCAAGTAACATTAGGTCTCCAGCGGCATGTGTCAGAAGGCCAGCCTAGGAAGATATCGCCGAGTGGGTTCAGCGGTGCCACAACGAGGCGATGCATGCTTCACGTCTCCATGGGAGATTATCCAGCCTTCACAGTGTCATGGTATGCGTGGTCCAAGCCCGCCACCTAATCTGTGCGTCTGAGTGTGACTATCTCAGCCCACTGCATGTAGCTCTCGGTACCCTTCAGTCTGTATGACTAGCAAGTCACTCAGAGCAAAGCGTAGTGATGTCCAATGCACACAACACTACATGCCATCGTCATCATCTTGTTCATCGTCATCGTCCTCCTCCTCGCTGCTTGTTGATCTCGGCCCGCCTGCAGCAAGGAGTGTGCTGCGTGTCAGCTGTGCACGCAGAGCACTCTGAACTTCAGACACGGCGTGCGCAGTGTCCTCCTCGGCCTTCAGCTGTCGTCTCTGCAGGGGGATAAGGAGTAGAGGATGCAAACACGTCGACAAGGAGAAACACAGGCGGGTGTAACGTAGTAGTCAGGTTTTCTGGAATTGAAAAGTACACGCATAACATTATTACACTGACTGACGGGTACAACATTACAATTTAGAAGGTCGAATTTCTCACAAGTGACAACGTACCTTTGCCTTGTGCGATCGCCACTGCTGCTGTATAGTAGTAGCTGCCACTTGCTGCTTAGCTGAGCGCGAGTCGGAGAACACCACGGTCTTTGCCTTGCGCCTAGCAAACAGGAATCCAGGATAGAGGATGTATTCATAATTATGATTATGAGACTCTCTCTCTCTCTCTCTCTCCATCCGTCCGTCCGTATGTCTGTCTGTATGTCTGTCTGTCTGTCTGTCTCTCTCTCTCTCTCTCTCTCTCTCTCTCTCTCTCTTCTCTCTCTCTCTCTCTCTCTCTCTCTCTCTCTCTCTCTCTCTCTCTCTCTCTCTCTCTCTCTCTCTCTCTCTCCTCCGCCCCCTCTCCCTTACTTGCAGACACCACCACCATCCTATAAGTAGTAGTAAGACCAACAACTACTGATATACAGTCACGGAGTGTACCGTGAATCAGCATGTTGTCAGTCATCAGGACTGAAACCATACGGTGTAGTTACGCTACTAGTCACATTTTTCACGAGGTCATAAAACGAGTGAAGTGAAATAATACTTGAGCTGCTGACTTACTGCTCCAGCTGTCTGGCATGCTCTCTTGCCCGCGCTTCCAGTGCGAGGCACTCTTCCGACTGCTGCAGGCTGTTGGACAGCTGCTTGTGCCGCTTTCCTAGCTCGGAGATCTTGCTGGCTTGGTGCTTAGAGAACTGCCTGTAGGTGTGAGTGGAGCATACAGACAGCATCAGTATACGGGTGCCAAGATTCATTCTGTAATTGACTAATTGAGTACCCTGTACATGACATGAAGCGGAGAAGCAGCAGCTATGGAGGTGGGATGTTTCTCATTCAGAACTGGTCATGGATGCGTAACTCACTTCCTCTCCTCGGCCAGTTTGTGGTAGTGTGTGCGGTCGTCCTTGAGTCGCTTCACGATGCTGCGCAGCTTTTCACACTGCTCCTCCAGCTCGTTGATCCTTGCGCTGGCCGCCTCACTGTCCTGTTTCTCTGCAGGCATTACAGGCCAGCGCACCGGACACACATTATTTAGCTGCTGAGGTAACAACTAAGGTCTGCGGGTAAACTAGACTCTATTTACTTTCCAACTAAGGACAATGGTGAACTCCAAAACTGAATCAGTGCTTATGTTCATGGCAATTAAGTTCAGTTGAGATTTTACAAAGCAACAAGCAGAAGGTTAATCTGTGTTCCTGGCAGTTTACTCACTTTGTTTGAGCGCTTTGACCTCGCTGAGTGTCGCCAAGTGTTCCTGATGAGCTTGCTGCAGTGTCCGTGTCAGCTCTTCGGTTTTCTACAACGCAGGAAGGAAAACAACGGGACATGACTCGTTTATCGATTCCTCGACCGGCATAATAAATTTGAGAGCTGCACTCCTATCCAGGGTGAGAGCTGCACTCCTATCCAGGGTCACGGCTAGCTTTGGACTGTGGTGTATACTTCAAGTATGTACATAGAAATCTGGTGGAATGGCCGGGGCTGCCGGCGCCCTTACTTGCTTAGCGCGTACCACCACTGTAACACAGTAAAAATGGACCAGCACTGCTCACGCCTGCAAGGCCAGCGCCCCGTGGCTATTTGACTTCTCAGCGAATTTCAAAATCCACAACTGTACTTTGGGTCAGATTTCACCTGGTCTCGCTATGCACTGCACCAGCTGCATGCCGTACAGTTACGCCGCATTGGCTCTCCGTGGACCACGAATGATCATGTAGGATGGTCACAAAATGGCTAATCCAGCGATACCAACAATGACACATAGAAAATTTATTTTATTCACAAATACTTTTATTAGAGCTACAGTCATGGACTTGAAATCTGACAAAATGCTTTGAAAATAGCTAGCTAGTCTGAAGGATTCTCCTGAGGCAAGCGAATGTCTGATAAAAGGAATCCTCGTGAATGGATGGTCTCTGCCCTGCACCCTGGCCTGGATAGTCACATCAGTTGTCCTTACCTCCTCCACTACACTGACATGCTGCACCATTTCCTGACGAGAACTATCCGCAAACCGGTCGCTGACTGACTGCAATCTCTCTGCATGAAATGGACCAGGACAGAATACGCCAGTCAAACAACAATTAAATTGCATAGGCATTAACCGGGAAATCGAGAACCCAAGTACAGGGGATCCTGGGGTCGACTTAACCAGTAAAATGCGGTACTACTTGCGTACAAATAACCATGGATACCCGTCAGTCACAATTATACACTCTTGAATATAACATGAAAATCGATTTGGAGCACCTTCATGACTTCATTGTTGTGAGGTAACGACGGCAGAATTTCTTCTTTTTACTGCCATTTTAACATTGTTGTCTCCGCGTCGGTTATTTCAAATAATGCTAACCTTTCCTCTGTGTTCCTGACATGCTCGAGGCTGACGTCTGCCTCTTTAGCAGTGATGAGGGCATTGCTGCTGTCGTCATCGCACTTGCTGCTGCTGCTTCTGCTGCCTTCACGTCCTTCTTCAGCTGCTTATTTTCCTGCTGGAGTTCCTCATTACGCTCTGAGAGACGAAACACAATCATTTTAGCAGAGGATAATGAGGTGGGAGCACTGTAAAATGATGCTAGCGTCGAAATATTGTTTTTTCATAAATCATAACAAAATCTGAAAATCATTCATTGCTGTGAGTGTTGAAACGATGCAGTATAAGACTTAGCAGAACGACCGTTCACCTTTAAAGGTCTTTACGGACAAGGATTGAACAGCGATACACTGATATACCTGCCTTTTGCAGCCACCGTCACCCATTGTACAGTCAGACCTCGCTTATCTGGTCCTCTTTTATCCGGATCCCTCGCCATCCGGAAGAACATTGTTGGCTACCGACTTACAGCATATGCCATGCATACATACAGTATGTGTGTTCGATTATCTGGTTCCCTCGCCGATCCAGATATTTTTGTGGAAAACGGATGTGTGCGGTTGTGCGAGGTATGACTGCACTGCAGTGCTTGTACATGGAAAGCCAGTCTTTATGGACTGGGGTGGAGATAACGTTGTAAGCTATCCTAGCTGTGTACTTTTAAACATGGTCAGTGGCCAGATATGACCGGCCTCTCAAGACAGGTGGTGGTCTCTCATGTGGGTTCAAATGCGTTCTGAAGTATTATCAGGCACCTGAACAGACTGGTCTCTCAACTTGAAACAGGTGGTGGTCTCTGAAGTAGGTTCAAATGTGTGCTGAAGTATTATCAGGCACCTGAACAGACTGGTCTCTCAAGACAGGTGGTGGTCTCTCAAAACAGATGGTCTCTCAAAACAGGGGGTCTCTCAATACAGGTGGTCTGTCAATACAGGTGGTCTCTCGGTCGAAAACAACCGGAACAGTCCCAGCTCTGGCACGACGGCCGCACGTACCTGTCACTCGCTGCAGAGACGCCGACAGGGACTTGATTTGCTGTGCAGACCTGAGAGCAACATGCATGAAGACTATCACATTATACAGATACAGTCCGCACGAGACACGCTGCGGTGCAATGCACTCACTCACAGGCTATCACTTATGCATAGACAGCCAACCATACACACAGCTTCCCAAAGTATGCAATACCAAATGGCTACCCCCAGAGCGCCACGCCCACTCGGTCCTACAGGCCTTGAATCTCTTCCAAATGTTCACATGTGTGTATGTAGTACTGGTACAACAAGTCCTGTACTTCATCAGCCATTGCTTACTGCTCAATTCTTGTTGTGTCCTGCTCGGCGGCACGGCGATCTGCCAGGGCATGCCGCAATCGCAGTACCTACAAGTGCATGTATGCATGCAGTGAAACAGAATTCAAAAACACAATCGGCAAACATATAAGCACACCGATATAGTGGATTCATACACATATGCACGCGCACACATTATGTGCATGCTGAACGTAGGTCGAATATTTTAGGGGGAGGGGTGCATGTGCCTCCCCCCCCCCCCCCACACACACACCACCGTCCGCTGCGGGCTACGCACCTGATGCCCTTACCTCTTCATAGTAAGTGTCTACTTTGATCTGCAATTCCTCCAGTGATGTAGTTTTGACATCCATACGAAGTTGCCTGCAAGCGAACAAGAGCAAATCGAATGTCAAGGACAGGTATCAGCGTTAGTAGAAAATTTCTACAGCGGGTACACCACAGCAATCTACACTCTTGCCCTGAGAGGTGTTGTCCGCAACTACACACGGGAAGCTGTTGCTTGTGAACAGTATGTTTGACGCCACGCACACGCCCAAGCGTTCCATACCCCTCTGTGAAGGAGGGGACAAACCAACAACTCACTCTCGTTCGGCTAACCGACAACTAACCCTGATGGGCTGTCATCCTTGTTATTTTATCTTTCCCCTCCCCCCCCCCCCCCTTCATTTCCCTACCCACCACCACTACACCTGCCGAAACAAACAAATACCTGCGCCACACATCACACATACTGCCACCCTGGAGTATAAGCCGCTTGTGACCAAATACAGACACGTCTACCCTATTTGTCACCGTTGTTGATTTCACAATCATAGTATTCATAGCCTTTTTTTGGTGAATTACTTGTTTTTTAAAGTGTGGCTTATACTCTAGGGTTCATCGGGTGTTAGCGGCCGTTGTGAGTTCCCTTCGGGAACGGATACGATAATTTACTCTTTTTTTTTATACTCCAGAAAACATGGTCATGTATTTCAATCTTACCCGAGTTCCGAGTCTCTCTGACGCAGACTGGTCTCCAGTGAATGAACTTTCCGCTTTAGTACCGATAGCATCTGGGAGCGGCAACAAGTCAGAAAAAATAACACGTCACAGTACAAACAAATCGCTCAGACACATCTCTACTGAGCCACAGTTGGGTATCAGATCATGACAGAGCCTTCGGCTGTGTGTTGCTCAACCATCCATGACATTGCATTAGGAATCCGCTTCAATCCCGTGAACGAGACCTACATTGCAATGATCACATGATGCATAACTGAGCAGCCGCCGTGCAACTCACTGTCATGTTCTCCGCCTTGGCTGAGCTGGCACCACGTGTGCGTACCGCCTCGTTGCGCTGTGTGCACCAAAACCAATGAAACATGACAACAGGCAGGAAGTTGAACACATTATTAGGACAGTATTGCAAACTGACACACACACACATAGACCATCATGCACACATGGAAAGGAGTCAGAAATGTTCAGCTGGAACCCAAGCCTCATAGGCAGTGCTGTTTCATGATCACGTACTAGTATGCATGGAACATAGAGCCTAGGTGCAGTTGAGCAGTATCGATCTCTCCTTCGATTAGTAAGTTATACTGCTATGGACCACAGTGCATTGTGCTCCCCCTTTCTCTATGTATCTAATGCAGCTACAGCTAGTTTCAAGAGTAGATTACTAGGTACAGCATGTACTTGTATTATAGAGTAGACTTGAAACTGGAGAAGAATACGCACAGACTAGGAGTCACATGACCCAGGCCGCACTGCTGTAGATATGTGGTTAAGCAGAACTCCTCCAGATACTGAATGAACCAAATTGAACCACCTAGATTAAATCACTGGTGGTGCTGGAAGCTAAACAGCTGATTGTATGTTCACGACGATCGACTATCCATGAAGAGTTTTAAGATGCAAAACACGTTATATCCACTTCATCACTTCTTGGCCTAGTAATGATCAAAAAGGGATTCATTTCATGTGTGGTTTGCATCTAAATCCATACTAGTTTGGCCAACAGTTTCTAAGAAGTGGTTCTGATCAGATTTTGAATGTGAAATTTTACTTTTAAAAACTGTTTAAGATACCTCTAGACGTTTTGATAGCACTGATCTTATCTTTTAATGTCTGCGGTGCCTCCTTTGTACCATGGCTGGCAGCTCGACCTACTGAAAGCTCGTAGCTGCACTGCGGATGAGGCCTCGATTGCCGAAACAGCTTGCCGTCTACACCATTCAAGTTGCACTGATATCAGAATCTCAGATTCTCAAATTCGACGCTTTACAGCGCTTTGTATGGAAATTCTTCACATGCACATGCACATACACATGCACATACACATGCACATACCGTTGCATGCACTACAGTCAGATCCAGTGGTCTATGGTAGAAGGAAGGAGCTAGCCATGGCATGGCATGGCATGGCATGCATACATACCTCAACATAGCCAGAGTCGAGGAAACTAGCGATACGCTTGTCCTGCATGACCAACAGCAAGACACGGCTGCCAGGTAAGTAGTGTGTGAGTACAGCTCCTTCTCTATCCGGACATACCCAGTTCGAGGTTCGAATTATCAGATTATTGTTATGTGGAAATCGTATTGATAGAAATCGGTACCAGAAGAAACTTCCCGAATTAAGCAGTATGTTCTAATTAATTAAGCCATATTCGAATTATCAGGATTTCACCTGTACCACTATTGTTGGCGGCTTCCACAACCCATTGCAATGAATGGTAAGCTTCGGACAGTGGTGTTGAACCGACCCACGCGCTGACACACACAATGCGTGCCAGCACAGATATGCCTGTGGACAAAAATGTGCACAATCCAGCATGGCCCGGGCGGCAAGTTAAACGTTTCAATTTTTTTCGAAGTGCTGGTAGAAAACAAGGGATCAAACAAACTGTTAACTCCTTGCCCTCCCCCCCCCCCCCCCCTCCCACCCTTCCCCCATGGCTATGCAAAAAGCAGAAGTATCAGGCAAAGCACTGAAGATGTGTCCCTACCTTTCTGTTCATCTCCTCCTCCAAGTGACGGACTCGCCCTGCCAGGAGATTACGTTCGTGCTCATGTGACCGTCCGATCTGAAGCCAAGCAATACGGCATGTCAAACACACATACAGTCAACTTCGCTTATAACGACACTCGGCGGGGCATCACAAAAGTGTCCTTATTCGCGAAGTGTCGTTATACCCGAAGTCTCATTATATTTGTCACAGTTGGATGGGACTTTGCTCTGGGCATCAAAATTATGTCGTTATTCGCGAATTGTCGTTATATCCACAGTCGGTATTAGCGAAGTTGACTGTACCTGACCTTTGATGCCCATCGCCGGAGGCGATGATAGCGATGCTACGGCAGAAGCCATAGCAACTTGTGCTGGGATCGCACCATTCAACAGCTTGCAAGGCTGAAGAATTGACCGCCACTATTCAGCCTGGTCTACACCACACAGCTACGAAGCGGCTTTTTCTGGCCAGTGAATCCCTACTTTTTGGTCTTTTTCCTTCTTTCCCGCACACACGCATCACACCACATACTCCGGCATGCACTGGCTGTTGATGCCCAACCAGGAGAATGGAAGAAAAGTCAGGAGGAGTCTCAGAAAGAGAAGAAAGGCGCGTGTGACCATAATCGTTTGGGAATCGAACCTGCAACCTCTCGATTGGAAACCGCTGCACAAGCCGGTGCACATACCACTGCACCATACGCGCACACACTGATGTCAAGGGACAATTTAGTACAGAAACTACTGGTAGTGCTGAGTCGCACATATGCATAAACTACAGCACTAGCCGTAGATAGATTATAGATTGAGTGTGCATAAACTAAACACCTGGGAAGCAAAAGTCGGTGAAGAACAGAAGGTGCATGCCTGAAGCTCTGAACTGGATGCCAGGGCAGCAGCCCCTCACCTTGCGCAGGTCTGCAACCTCGTCAAGCAGATCCTCACGGCTCTTGTGGCTGGCGATGCGCCGCCGATCTTGGTCTCGCCGATCGGACGCAGACAGCGACCTGGCGTGGCGTGTGGATGCCGCCAGAACACTGCCTGCCTGCAGTGACACACACACACACACACACACACACACACACACACACACACACACACACACACACACACACACAACAGGACCGGCGGAAGCAGTTTTCGATTAGTCCGGACAGATACAGTACCATAGCCTTTCATACTTTGTTTGTGATATGGAGGGGACACACATGACCTCCCTCTTCAGCAGCAAACACACGCTGGTGGCTAGAACGTCGGTCCGGTCATGGCCTGACCAACCCACGGGACCGGTTCCGCCTGGCCTGCACAATACACACACTGTGACCGTGAACGTTACAAGCGTGACATGTTGTCATGCTTCTAATACTTCATTATCACGTGACCAGGGCCCGCACATCGCTATTGGATATGTTGTAGATGCCGTGCTACAACAGATACAGCAGGACGTGCTTGCTCTTCTTGTACAGGCTACGACTCGTAATTCACACTGCTGCATTCTGTGCTACAGCAGCCTGGCATTACAGATTACAGTCCCAAACACACGAATACAGTCGTGCCAACTCGCGCATTACAATCTGGGTTATAACGACAATTCGTGAATGACAACATTCCCTTCAGACCTGGTGGCCACTTCACTACAAGCTTTCAACCTCGCGAGCAACGCCAACTGGCAAATAGCAACCAAACACTTCTTGTGACCAATCGAGCGTCGCTGTTTGCAAAGTTGACTGTATTCGTCCACTGGTAGGGTTGTCCGAGATGTTCTCACATTTCTGTTTAACGATGGTCTCATTCTTCTGTTTAGAGTTATGGTCTCATTCCTCTGTTTACCGATATGTTCGGCCAAATACATGCATCAACTCCTCCTTGAACTTGGAAGTAGCGACTTCGGTAGCACAGGATCGTGGTAAATGGAGGTGGTTGCTGGTACGTGGAGCACACGCTTCCTGCCGAACTTGACCCATGACTGACTCACGACTCAGTGCCATCCGGAGCACACGAGCCTCGCGAGATGTTTGTTTCACTGGTAACGGAGCACTGTCTCTGTAAGCTTGTATTCCCGGGGATGGTTGGCTTGGAGTAAGTGATGCATGCTTTTCAGGCACATTCTTCCTCAGCCTACTCAAGCTCAACTGATGAGGGGTGAATTCCCGGAAACACTGTACATTGAGCAGGGACTTGTGCTTTCTCTTGCAGGTTTGCTGAGTGGAAGATGCGACAGGCTCCTCGCAATCTCCGGATAGCAGTCGTGAGTCAGTCAAGGGGCAAGTTTGGCAGGAAGCGTGAGTTCCACGTACCAGCAACCACCTATCCATTGACTCTCAGTCCTGGAGAGAGTGTGTTACTAGCGGAGAATACACAGTACAACATACAGTACATGTATCATGTGTTCACGGTGACCATGGTGACAGCGTGAACAAGCGGCGAGGATGCACTGTATGAGAAACAGTGAAAACATGTTACCTATCAGGGAGGCTTGCATAATAATAACATACAGTATACAGTAGGTATACAGTGCTCAGTACTGGCCCATGTTGCATTGCATGAAGACCTTCACCTCCCCCAGGCATGCAGCCGGCCGCATGGAGCACACCCCCCCCTAAAAAATGTCGACCTAGGTTCAGCATGCACATAACGACCATGAACGACATGCACTAGCAGCCATCCTACACATATGCGGTCGTGTACCCCCCCCCCCCCCCCCCCCATAAAAGGGGGACCAGCTACGCCCCTATCCGCAGTGGAGGCATAGCACCGTAACGTTCTGAACGAGCAGCCACAGCATACAACCCGGTACGAATTGTTTCTAAGGATGTGCAGTAAGAACGCAGCCGGACTGCTCAAAGACAACTTCCCGGCATGACCTCTTGGAAACGACGTTCTCAGGCGCGCGACTCTACTGTATTTGCGAGATCTGGAAGTCGCATGCACAGCTTGTTTCAGTTCAAAGGAGAAATGAGGAGAAAGGCCACCAATCACCACACACGACTAGTAATAGAACAGCAACATATTTCTGACCGGAGCGTAAACAAATAATGAAGAGAGCATGGTATGCACAAGAGAAACAGCAGCAAACATGCCCATGAATAACCTAGATCAACTTGACAATGATTATGCAGCATACACAGCACTACGCGGAGATCAGAGGAGGCCTAGCCAGCTAGCCTTCTCCACGAAAACTAAAGATTAAAACAGATTCACAAGACCAAGGGCAATGCTAAACACACACACCCTTGCAGGACAGATTTCAAACACAGCATACCCCCATACACATCAAGCATTCGGGGCACAAACATTTGAAGAAAAAAAGTGTGTCGGCACAATACTCAGCAGGATAATAACACACAAAGTGGATGAGGAAACAAAACTCAATCACTGTCGATATAGATCACGTCTTCTTGTTTCGGCTGAGGAGTAGTACTGGGCTTGAAGGGTGACACAGCTGGCTTTTTGACTGCGGGTGCATCTTCCCCGGAGGAGTCGTGCCCACGTTTTATACCTGTCGTAATGATACCTGCCGACGCCGCATCGCCAGGCATCGACGCAACCGTCGGGCCGCCGCTCGATCCAGGCACAGGCGTTTGCTGCACAATTGGGTGCTGGTGTTCTGCCGTGGCCAATGGCTGATGTGCAGCAGCAGTGCTGAGTACGGTGGGGTAGGGCATGGTCACCAGCACTGCTCCGCTCCTGTCTGGATTCAAATCGCCTGCAGTGGTGGCAAAGACACTACTCCCACTAGGCCACTGCACTTTCTCGTCAGCGTTGTGGCCAATGCTGTTGTTATCTTCCTCGTCTTCATCGTCATCGTCGAATATCGTTGGCACTACATCATCATCATCGTCACAGTCACTGGCATCTCCGTATAACGCTTCATACTCGTCTTCTCCAGTGCGTGCAGTCATGTTCCCCGAGTCGGCCACGGGGAACCCTTCAACAGGAACGGGGCCAGATGCTTCGCCCGCGTTCTTTGCATCACCGTTCTCGTCCACGTCCGCTCTGCTTTCCTTGATATCACCGTCACTGTGCAAGGCGAGGTCACCAGCATCGCTGCCACCATCAGCTGTACTGCCCACACCACCGTCTTCGTCGTCTTCTCGCAGAAGATCTGCATCGTCGTCATCGTCCTGTGTATAGTCACGCTCTTCGACGGCGGCGCTGCCATCGCTGTTGCTGCCGCCGTCGTTATTGTCGCTACCACTGCTCTCACCAGAATCACTCCGTTCCGACGCTTCGCCAAAGTCCTCCAGAAGTTTGTCCAGCTTAGCGGTGCCTTCCTGTTGGTTACGTTTCAGCTTTGCTTCCAGCTCCTTGTCGTGGAGAGCCGGGTCGTCCAGGTGTAGATCAGCTCCGCCGTCTTCTTGCACATCACTTCCACCTGTGCCAGCGCCAGCATCCGTGCCGCTCTTCTTCTTTCGCTTTCGGATGTGAGACACGACGACGTCAGTCAGCTGGCAGCCGTGGTCGTTCCAGAAGTGCTTCTGACGATACGCCTGCGCCTGTGCGCCCAGCGCCTGGAACGCGTCGTCCACGTACTGCTTCTGTAGCGCCTCGCTCCACTCCACCTTGTAGTGGCGCACGCACTTCTTCATCAGCCGCAGCATGTCCTCCCTGGATGGGAACTCCACGCCAGCCGCGTACCTCTGCAGTCGATGGTTGATGTGGCTGTGGTGCAACTTCACACTCGTCTCAAGTACAAATTTTCGAGGCCGCTCCGGTGGTATCCTGGGACTCTGGCCAACCAGCTTAGAATATCGCTGCCAAGCAAACAATAACTCGCGTTTCAGGCGATCCTGGAGCATGTAGACACTTTCTTCAGTGTCCATAGATTCCAAATTACACTCCTCTTCATCCAACTTCGTGATCTGTCGCTCCAACTGCTCCATTTTCTTTACCAGGTTTTTTAGCACGAAGTCCGAGGAGGTGGATGTAGCTGAGGAAGGCTGAGCATTTGCTGATTGTGGAGCTGCGGAGTCTTGCCGCTCGCTGCCACCAGCCGTGCTATTAATGACCACAACTGGAGTCGGTTCAGCCACTGTCGACGCTTCATTCATTCTTACAGGCTGGTTCTCCATTTTACCCACGCTCAAGAGAGCAAACAGTGAATGATACTGTCCGGTTGCCAAACAAAGCAAAACGTATTTTCAAGAATTACAAATCAATGATTCAAACTGCAATTTTTGAAGTCATAATTATGTTGCAGAGAAACGAAAGCACTGCACATGTGTGAAACTGCAACACGATTCAAGAGCTGAAGAGGACACCTACCTAACCGAGCTGAAGCAGTGAACAGGTGAAGGCCGGCCGGGAAAAAGACATGAAGGCCGCGAATGTTCGAAAAATCAAGCGAGTCATCTACTCGTACTCATCGATCATCCTGTACAAGGCGATCGCGAGTTGGATCCGGGCGCACTGGCAGCTAGCTGGCAGATGCATGGTTTCGCGCATTGTACGAATACTTGAAGAAAGAAAAACTGTTTGTGCGAAGAAATCTTTTTGCGCGCCCACGTACGTGCGCGTGCATGTCATGCATGACATGATCCACGTACACTGTATGTGGATCCACGTAGATCTACGTGGCCGCCGCCGCCGCAAGTAGATCTACGAGTAGTCGTAGAACTACGAGTCGACACCCGGCACCGACTTCCTCGCGTCGTGCATGAAGGAGTTCGATCATGATGTTGGTTGGTTGGTTGGTATATTTTATTTTACTTCGCCAGAATGAACAGGTATTGCTGCCTTCTTGCCTGGACAAGTGGATTGTCCAAGCTCTCACAAAAAGACGAAGAAAGGAAAGAAATATTACATGAGAGTGTGAAGCATGCAATCTTATATAAAAAATATTACACTACAGAACAACAAGGACAATCAAGGCTTGTTTGCTGCTACTTTAAGTTTCATGCTTACGCAATCATCAGGCAACATGAAGATCGGGTGCCGACCATGCCGGTATATATGCCAGGAGAGGGTGGTATAAAAAGCTGTGTGAGACTGTGGGGGCTAGCGCAGTAGCGATGATGTTTTTGGCAGGGGGCTGTGTGCAGAGTGTGTGGTTGTTGAAGGCAGGGGCTAGCAGTGCAGTGTGAGCGCGAAATGTGTGGCTGGTGTGGGCAGGAGGTGGTGAACAATGCGTGTGGATGTTGTAGGCAGGAGGCTGTAGAGCTAGCAGTGTGATAATAGCGCAATGTAAATGGATATGTCTGGTGTGGGCAGGGTGTTATGAGCAAGGTGTGTGAACGTGAATGGTGTGGGCAGGAGGCTGTGGAGACATGTTTAGGTGACACCGTGGTTTTTTAGGAGATACTTGTTCTCGTGTCGGCACTTGGACACCATTTCGGAGCGCTTGTTGAGGCTGGACGGTGACCCTAGCGTGTTCAGGATGTGATACTTTTCTCTGGTACAGAGGGAACACCGCTTCGTGATGTTGGAGTATGCCCGGGCGCGATCTTTTATCCTCCATTCGACTTCGTATTGGGCGTTGGATTTCTTCAGCTTCCAGATGTAGTTGGAGAACTCAGTGCAGCTGGAGTACTTCTCGTATCTTGTTGTAGTCATGTGGTTGGCATGGCGTGACTTGAATGGTGGCGCCGACATACCGGTGTATTCCTTTTTGGTGGGGCCTGACGTTATGGATGCCACATATATCAGCTCCGTCGTTTGGCATTCACCGTTGAGTGGACAAGATGGCTTGTCTCGGCAGTTGCAGGGCTTTTCCGGTTTTTTCGTTTGCGGGCAGAGGACCGCTTTGTTGTGGCTTTTGATGCGTGCAGCCATATTTGGCATGCAACTGTAGCTTATCTTGATGGTGTTTTTTGTGAATATTTTTCCGAGCTTCGACTGCGGGGGGAAGTGCTTCTTAATGAGCGCGAGGAATCTTCCACCGATGTTTGTTTTCACATTACGGCTGTAGGGCGGGTTGTACCAAATCACCTTCCTCTTCCTTTTCTTCTTTTTGCTTGTTTTCTGTTTGAACTCTAGCGTGCTAGGGTGGCCGCTGGCGTTGAGGGCCTCCGCGTAGATGGGGATAGCATCACGGAACACCGCCTCTGAGCAGGAGATGCTTGCCAGTCGGTTGTTAATTCCAGCTGGGATGTTCTTAAGGACTTGCGGTGGGTGATTGGAGTTGACGTTGACATACAGTGGGGTGTCGTTGGGTTTTCGGTACGGTTGGTAGGTTCCTGTGGAGAAAATCCAACGCCCAATACGAAGTCGAATGGAGAATAAAAGTCCTTGTTGTTCTGTAGTGTATTACGCTCTGCCTTTGTGGTGTTGAGCACTGTCAAGCACTCTGGGTACATCCTTCGGTATAAAAAATATTAAAAAATTCCATGAGAGTGTGACGCATGCATGATGAGAGAGGAGAGATAGATTCGAGATAGAGATAGATAGATTGAGAGAGAGAGAGAGAGAGAGAGAGAGAGAGAGAGAGAGAGAGAGAGAGAGAGAGAGAGAGAGAGAGAGAGATAGATAGAGAGAGAGACTGCTTTATTGCCTGGACAAGTGAACTGTCCAAGCTCTTACAAAATGACCAACAACAACAGCAACGGCAACAACAACAGCGACAGCGACAACAACAACAGACCAACAACAACAGCAACACCACAGCAGCAGCAACAACAACAAGAGAGAGAGAGAGAGAGAGAGAGAGAGAGAGAGAGAGAGAGAGAGAGAGAGAGAGAGAGAGAGAGAGAGAGAGAGAGAGAGAGAGAGAGAGAGAGAGAGAGAGAGAGAGAGAGAGAGAGAGAGAGAGAGAGAGAGAGAGAGAGAGAGAGAGAGAGAGAGAGAGAGGAGAGAGACGGCTTTACTACCTGGACAGGTAATTGTACAAGCTGTCACAAATTGACCAACAGCAACAGCAACAACAACAACGACGGCAGCAGCAGCAGCAACAACAACAAGACCAACAACAAGAACAACAACAACAACAACAATAATAACAACAGAAAGAGAGATAGATAGCTAGAGGGAGAGGGAGAGAGAGAGAGAGAGAGAGAGAGAGAGAGAGAGAGAGAGAGAGAGAGAGAGAGAGAGAGAGAGAGAGAGAGAGAGAGAGAGAGAGAGAGAGAGAGAGAGAGAGAGAGAGAGAGAGAGAGAGGGATAGAGAGAGAGAGAGAGAGAGAGAGAGAGAGAGAGAGAGAGAGTGTGTGTGTGTGTGTGTGTCAGAGACACAGAGAGAGAGAGAGAGGGGGGGGGGGGGGAGGAGAGATATGCGGATTGTTAAAATGGATTTCGACATGAAGTTAGGTACACAGAATGTTAATATGGGTAAAGACTGGGCAAGTCGAGAGCCGTGGCTAGAGCTTTAAATGTCTGCCAATCACCTTCCGTACGGACTGCAACTGGGAGAGCATTCCACAGAATACTGCTAACAAACTGAATTGAACGACGTCCAGCAGGACCAGGGAGGAACGGAACTCTCAGCAGGCTTGACACTTGACCCCGTGTCGTCCTCAGCTGAGGTGTAGCAGGGTCGTTGATCGGCACGAACAGATTCTTTAACAGGGGACTTGTCTTGTCATTTAAACATTTGAAAACGAAGATGGCAAGCTTCTGGAAGAGAAGCTGTGGCAAGCTTGGTACACCCAGTAGCTCGAGAAGGGGGGCAGTCGGGACCAGAGTCCTTTGCTGCAGGGTCGCTCTGACACCGGATTTTGACAGGCGGTGGAGTTTATCCAGGAGCTGCTTGGAAAGACTGGAGAAGAAACAGTTGGATCCATAGGACAGATGAGCCTGTATCATGCTGACATACCAGACTTGGCGTGCTCTTAGGCTCAGGGACCTGCCGTGTCGCCATAGCTGTCCAATTACTGGCCCGATCTTGCGTGTTACATGGCTGATATGTGGCTGCCAGGAGAGGTCATTGTCGATTACAACACCCAGGTATTTCGCAGATGTTGTTGCTTCCAGGGGTTGTCCTCGACAACGTACATGTTCTTGAACATCAGCACCGCCTCTTGGCTTTACAAACAGAACTTGGGTTTTCTGGGCATTCAGAAGTAGGCCGATGTCATCTAGCCACTTGGCGAGGTTGGTCACTGCAGACGACAGAGACTCGCAGACTTGCTTGGGACACGCGTTGGAGCAATCGAGAGCGATGTCATCAGCGAATTCCTGATCTGCCACATCCGGAGGCATCGTTGACTTGACGTCAGCAGTGTAAATTACGAACAGGAGTGGGCCTAAGACACTGCCCTGCGGAACACCGTGAGAGCAAGGAACAGTCCCTGACAACTGATCCTGCAATTTGATCTGCTGTGTCCGGCCAGACAGGTAACTGCAGAACCAGTTGAGTGCAGTTCCCGAGATGCCTAGCTTAAACAGTTCAGTAACGAGTCGCTCATGCCTGACGCGGTCAAAGGCCTTTGACATGTCGACAAACACGATGCCGGTCTACTTGCGCTCTGCCCGTGCCATTTGCCATCGATCAACAGCATACGTTAAGGCATCTTCTGTGGAGTGAAGCTTTCGGTAGGCGAACTGAGTAGGCGGAAGAAGTTGCTTGGAGTCCAAGTACTGCGTGATCTGATTTTTTACAAATGCTTCTGTGATGCGGGAGATAATGATGTGGATGTGGAGCCACCATTGCAGCCCCTAACTGGCGAAACCTTCCACCATCGGTCAGCCAACACTGATCCTGATGCCCGTGCCGACTTGTGGGTGAAGCCCCGGGGATTCTGGACCGATAGCCGGAACGCATTCTTCGATACAAGGCCAAGGGTGTTTATCCCCACGCATCAAGCTATCGGTCCAAGTCCCTTCCCTCCCTCTACCGAAGGTTTGAAGGCGAGAAGAAGCGTGCTTAGGGTGAACGTGTCAATCGAAGTCGAGCATGGCTCCTTCACACCGTTAGTCTTCTCCTCCTGTGGTGGGATGGGCTCAGAAGCAGCTGTGGTCATCAAGAGGCTGGCGCACGGCTCGGCCACCAAACGCAACGCTGCATAGTTGTAGCGTGGCTGCGGTGCTGCTTGGCATTTTCTCTTGCCAGGTCTGCCATCCATTGCGTCCGCGGCTCGCGCTCTGTTCGCCGCCATCACTTCGACCTCGCGCCTGTCGACCTCGTCCAGGCTGAGGCGCGTCTGGCTCGACATTAGACTGTATTCACAGCCATTTATCTCCTTTTCTTCCTGTTATATTATTACTATCCGGCGTGTATTTACCGCCATATTGCCAGGTGCGTGTTTACCACCATAATTATGAACATAATACTCAGGAAAACTCAGGAAAACTCAGGAAAACTCGAAAAAAAGTAACTTTGTTATCACAATATCAGTCTGGTCATCACGCTGCTACCTGGGGCTTCACGAGGTGTTTGTCGCGCTGGAAACAAAGCGTCTCTGTAAGTTTGTATCCGGATCCCTGGTGATGGTCCGGGCCTGGAGAGCAGTATATAAGTGGTGCTTTTCAGGCACAATCTTCCTCAGCCTACTCAAGCTCCCCGAAACACTGTGCAGGAAGTGGTGCTTTCTTTCAGGTTTGCCGAGCGGAAGGTGCG